AGAGAGAACAGAGCAAAACAAAAGAAACGGAGAGGAAAATATCAAGACTTGGAGGAAAAAAAAAAGCGAGGCAACAAATATTTCTCTCTCTCTCTCTCCTCCGCCGCAATAAATACTTTCCTTTCATAGCGCCCACCGTTTTTTGGTTTGCGTGTCGTGATTGGGTCAGGCTTCCTCGGAGATTCGACGAGGATTCGTCGTTCACTTTTTTTTTAAAATTCTAAAATTTTGGAATTAATTGGACGGTGGAGATGTTTCTTAGTTGAAGATTCCAGAAGGGAGGCGTTTTATTGAGATAGTCAAGAATCAAGGCCGAACGAGTACGCGCACGCCAGGCTGGATTTAGTGCTAATTCATTGAACCGGGCTATATACACGTCTTCAAAATTAGTTTACTTTTTTTAATTAATAAAGGTACCGTGACTTAGGCTCTGTTTGGCAAAACTAGCTGAAAGCTGCGAGATTATAGCTGAAAGCTGTTAAGCTAGCTGAAAGCTGTGAATTTATAGCTGAAAGCTGTTAGCTGTGTAGCTAGCTGATTGACTAGAGCTGTTTGGCAAAAGTAGCTGTACAACTAGTTTAAATTTGTTAAATGACTAAAAAGACATGCAATATTATTGATATAAAATTAGAATTATTAGGGGCAAAAATGAAAGATAAAAATTGGCAGCTCCTTTCCAAAGACAAACGCTACTTGAGGTAGCTTTCCAAAAGCTACTTGTAAAAGACACAATCTCCAAAATAATCTCATCCTATTTTTGGTTACCAAACAGCTCTACTAGCTTATTGACCAAGTCTATAAGACACAAGCTCTTAGATAAGACACTTTTTTTGGTTGCCAAACAGTACCTTAACCACTTCTTAACCTGTCAAACACAAAAAATAGTCAAAATAGTCAAAATCATTGTTATTCTCCAAACACTAAGACTGATCACAATGGCTAAAATAAAACTTATTTAACGGGTTAAATAATTTAGTCCTTCAGATTATTGAATGGGCTAAATACATTAATCCTTCTATTTAATCTCTCTTCCTTAACCATTTGCCAAACGAAAAGGATTAATTAGGCATGGTGTAATTGCACCGGTGACCCTAGAGTCTTCTGTGTATCTACAAGGCAATTCGTTGTTTGCTGACTGCATAGTTACGCGAGTGATCCTAGGAATTGCTTGTTGCTCGGTCTCTAGGGTCGCCCTTGTTGTTACACCGTGCTTTAGAGCATCCGAGCGCGATTAACCATTGATTAAATTTAGATATGGGTTTTTTTTTAAACGTACAAACAAACTACTAAACACTGTAAAACACTGTAAAGATTAATTTATTTAGCTCCGCTTTTATTTATTTGTCTATTGTTTATTTATTTATTTGAATAAATTTAAGCAAGTTGATTTGCTCGTACTCAGGCTTTGACTTTGTTAAAAGTAAAACATATCTAACATAGATGTTACTACAAATATATGTATAGAGGTCGGGGTGTCACACCTGTTGGTGCGTGCAAGCCGTGGGGCTCATCAAGACCAACTCGATATTAGCTTAAATCCACCGTCAAAATGCTAGCACTAGTTGTTCTTAGGCCTTGAGATTTTTTTCTATTTAAACCACTAATATTTCTTCACACTAGTCCATGTCACTCTCAGGCAATGTGGACTCTAGAGGTGGTTCCTACGGGCGCTAGAGGTGGCTCCCACCGTATCCATGATGTATAGCACTTAGCCCCGTATAACACTTAGCTCTACACTTTTGGCTGGCAAACTGCTCTGATACCATTTGTCACGTCCCGGGCCCACGGGCCCGTTGACGCTTGCAAGCCGTGAGAGGCACCAAGAGTAATTTAATGTTGACTAAAGTCCACTACCAAAATACTAAAATACTAGCACTAGTTGTTATTGGGCATTAGGTTTTTCTCCATTTAAACCACTAACATTTCTTCACACTAGTCTATGCGGAACTACAGTGGGGGTGTCACAACCATCCCACATTACAAAGACGACGTCCTCGTCATCACGACATGACAATTAGCACATCTCAGTGTCATTGTCAGGCGATATGAACTTTAGAGATGGCTCCTAGTCCTACGGGCTCTAGATGTGGCTCTCATCGCATCCATGCGGTATAGCACTTAGCCCCGTATAGCACTTAGCTCTACACTTCTGCCTGAAAACTGCTCTGATACCAATTGTCATGCCCCCGGGCACACGCCTTGCACTCGCC